AAATAAATTATATTTTTAAATTATCAATTAAAATAAATTATTTATTATTTAATTTGTGATATTATCATACATTAATTTTTTATTAAAAATATTTAAATAACAAATAAAATTTTAATATGCGATGGTATTACATATGAAATAGTAAATAATTTATTTTAATCAATAATTTAAAAATAAATTTCTCTCTATTTTCTTTAAAGGTAAATTTACTTATGCCCTCTATTTGAAGGGCGGATTTGGGTTTCTGTCTTTTCGAATGGCACGAGGTTATTGGACTAGAAACCTATGCAATCTCCGAGTGCAAGAACAAAAAAAAAAAAAAAAAGAAAAAGAGAAAAAAAAAAGGAAAAAGAAGAGTAGTAATTTAATTGTAATCTTTCTTGATTGAATAAGGTATAACGTATCCGTTTGAAAACTCTAGCACACTTTTGATATACCTAATTATAGCATTTTGTTTGTATAAGATTTAAAATAAAGTTTTTATTGAATTGAAATAGAAAATCGGATTGATATACTATACAATAATTTTTCTTTTCTTTTCTTTTCTTTTTCATTTAACGGGAAAGGGGAAGTGGTGTAGGACCCGTGTGAAGAGGGCAGGGTTACAACCACCTACATGCCAAGATGAAACGGAGTTGGGCAATTCTCCCATCTGGCCTAACAAGGCTTCTCCAATATTTTCATTTTCCATTTAGAAAAACTGAATTATCTTTTTTTCTTTCTTTCTTTGATTTTGGATTACACCAACCTTCCCTTATATCTATCAACACACCCCATTTCGAACGCTATAAGCCAACAGCTTGAACTAAATATCTCATTTCTTACTAAAAGGCCGCCTTTGTCTTTATAAATAAAAGGGAATAATCTTTTATCATACTAAAAGATTTTATATTAGTAGTAGTTAATTAGACCCTTCTCCTTTGCGACGTTCTGTCCCAGTGGCATTTGCCGCGTGATTAGTGGGAAGCATCCTTGTGGGTTGGTCCGTGGTTAAGTCCCCGGCGTTCCGGGGTTGTAATTTAAGTTGGATTAAGTTAGAAAATTTAAAAACGTAAATGGTTTAATTTATGAATTTACTTTAAACTGATTAAACTGTTTAATTATAAATTTTTTAATTAAATAATATAATATTTTTATTTTTATTTTTTAAAATATATTTT